AAGTTCAAAACAGGTCTGTAAATTATTTGGCTATATTGCATTAAAATCAATTTCCTGATTTTGACAATTGTATGTTGGTTATGTAAGATGTTAACATTAGGGGAACCTGAGTGAAGGATATATGGTTAACATTTCTGCAACTTTTCTCTAAGTTAAAAACTTCAAAATAAGATATATATATATTTATACATCTTTAATATTTATATATATAAATAAAGAATGATATATAATCAGATATATATGTAGTGTTTGGGCAGGAAAATACAGTGTAAAACATGACCTGATAAGTAGCAGCTGAATGGGCTGGGGGCTTCTACCTGAATAAGGAAGTCCAGGAATAAGTTGGGAGATGCAAATCAATGACTATATCCTCAGCAAGTACTTAGATACAGTATTCCTACGTTTTGGGGGTCAAAGGGCCCATTTAATGTAAAACTGCAAAACAGAATAGAATAGAATAAGGGTGAGTTTAGGAGTTGTAAAATATTAGACATCACAAAATTCTACTCCTTCATTTTAAGTGGGAGAATTGTGAGACCAGAGTGGTTAAGGTGATGGCCCAAGTTCAATGTAGCGACTTGGAAAAACAAAAATTTGTAATTTCAGTGAAAACAAATAGGCCATGGAGAAATGAGGCTAGCAAGTAAAAACCACAGTGTAAAATAAAAGTTAAGCTTGGGAAAAATGAAGCTATATCTTCACCTTTGAGCATATACTAAAATAAACTGCAGCTAGAAAAATTATGGAATTAAAAATAAGAAAGAAAACCATAAAGCACCTAGGAGAAAATTTAGGGGGAAGATTTATTTTTCATATCTTAGGACATGAAAGGACAAAAAAAGCATAAGTTTAAAGTTAAGAATATAAAAAAATAACAATATTTAAAAGCACAACAACTGGGAAAATATCTGCAACAAAAATATGACATGTAAAGCATCAACATCCTTAAGATATGCAGATCAATAAACAATAACAAATCAATAAACAGAAAGAGCAAACACTCCGATAGAAAATTAGGCAAAGGACACCAGGCAAGTAATTCAAGAGGAAGAAAATTAAATGGTTAATAAACAATGTGGAAAATATGCAATGCATTATAGTCAAAAAATGTAAATTATGAGATGTCATTCTTGATCCAACATATTAAAGACTAAATGATGACTCTCTTCAACACTGACAAAAGTTGCAGAAACGAATACTGCCACATGCTGTTGGTAATTGGATTAATACAATCTTTTTGATAGTAATTTGTCAATACACTTCAAAATCCTTCAAAACATAAATATCCTTTGGTTTGAAATAGCTACTTGTTGTTAAAGTGTGGCCAATGGACCCCTGGAGTCCCTGAGACTCTCTCAGAAGTCTACAAGGTCAAAACTATTTTTATAGAAACAGTAAGACATGATTTGCCTTTTCCTCTGTGTGACATTTGCACTGATGGTGCAAAAACAACGGTGGGCAAAACTGCCAGCTCCTGAACACAGATCAAGACCTGGCACAACTGTCCTACGAGTCACACACTTGCAGGAAGAAAGAAAGCCAGTTTCACGTAAGAATATCTTAAGATTCACTTATTAATTTTATTAAATCTCAACCCCTGATACACATTCTTCTAACATTCTGTATAACAAACTAAGAAGTAAATGCAAAGCACGTCTACTGCATATCGAAGTATTATGACTGTCTCAAGGGAAAGCACTTGTATGATTGTTTGAGAGCTGAACTAGATGCCTTTTCCATGAAACACCATTTTTACTTGGATGAATGATGAACAAAGTATGATTATTCAGATTTGGATATCTGGCAGACATTTTCTCAAAAATAAACAACATGAGCCTGTCACTTCAAGGGAAACAACTGATAGTATTTGTTGCCAAAGAAAAAATTTGAGCTTTCAAGGGAAAATCAAATATTGGAAAACTCTGTATCCATCACCGTAAATGTGACAGCTTCACATCTTACAGACTTTTCTGATGAGATCAGTGGGGATACTAACAAATGTGATTTTTTTGATGCTGTATAATAAAAGGTGACAACATTTAGAAGACTTGCATAACTCACAACCAACATTTTGCAAATGAACAATGCATGATGATAAAAATCATGCATGGGTAAAAGATCCACTCAAAGTTCAAGACTGGCCAAAAAGTTCTATAATACGGTTTCACATTCCACATTGCAATACAAAAATATACCCAACATACAAAAAAACCCACAGTTATCTGAAAAGTCTATTAAATTACTCTTCCCTTTTCCAACTACATATTTGTCTGAGGCCAGAATTTCTTCATGTTCTTTAATCAAAACAGCATATCACAACAGGTTGATTGCAGAAGCAGATATGTCTTCCTTCTATTAAGGTAGATATTAAAGAGATTTGCAAAAGTGCAAAACAAGGCCATTTTTCTCACTAGTTTTTTGAAATCATGGTTATTAACCTTTAAAATTGGTTAAATTTAATAGGTTTATTATTGTTATTTTAAAATAAATAAGCAATTTTTTAAATTTCTGTTTTAATTTATAGTTTAATAAACATCAACAGACATAACCCATATAAACAAAAGTTTTCTGGGGTCCTCAATACTTTTTTAGAGTGTAAGGAGATCTGGAGACCAAAAAGTTTGAAACCTGCTGATATGGTCATTCCCAATTTCTAAGATTCTAAAGTAAGAAAATAAGCAAACTTGGCATAATATATGTACAGAAATAGAAAATTAGAAAAATAAAACTCTTGATGTCCAGCAATATGGAAATGGATGGTACATCTAGAATGTGATATTATTAGTATTTGAAACAAATTATAAGGAATTTTTAAAGATGAGTAATGCTCACTATATGTTAAGTGAGAAAAGCAAGACCTATAAACTACATTAGCAGAGAAAGTACCTCACTGAATAAAAAAGACTAGAAATATTTTTTAAATATGTTAACAGAAATTTTCGGAGCTATAGGATTATGAATAATTTTTATTTTCTTTACTGAGCATGTACTACTTTCAAAATCAGGAAAATAAAAAATTTTAGCAACTTTTAAAAGCATTTCAGTACTTTGATTATTTTTAGAATTCAATTTAGGTGAACATCACACAAAAAATAATTGCTTCTGTTATTATTATTAATATTAAAACTAATTAAGGCAGCTTAGTATAGAACTCTGACCTGAAAGTCATGAAACCTGTATTCTAAACACTGTTTAGCCATTCAATAACTCTAGGCTTTCTGACAAGTCACTTAACCTCTTTGAGCCACCAGAAATTATCTCTGAGGTCCTTACTTCACCAATTCTCTGGCAAAATGAACTATCAGATCTAAAGGCTGTTCAAGTCCTTTGCAAGAAACATCTAAAGTAAAACAGTGCTACGATGCAAACTGTGAGGCCAACTCCCAAATCACACTCTATGGAATTCCTACCGACGCTGCTAAATGGCTCTTTAATTCCTTCTGCAGATTGGTAGTGCAGCCTCTCTCAATAAAGTCTCTGGTAAATGAAGAGTTAGTTATACCCTGAATGGTATTTGGGAGAAGCAAAAAATATTTGGCCATATTATGCATAAGAGAAAAAAGGGCATACGAGAATAAGCAAGACAGCATGGTGCCCCAAACGAATGGAGTCTTTCTTACGTATACTTCATAAGTCCTTAATAACAGTAAAAGGAGGTTACCTCTAACGGAGAGGACAAGGTATTTGCTATGGAAAAGAATGAAAGAAAAAAAATGAGGGAGAGAGAAAGAGAAGAGGGAAAGGAAAAGAAAGAGAAGCAAAAATACAGTGCTAATATAAGTACGTAACAAGAGCAGAATTATCTAAATGTGTGCTGTATCTTAAAATTGCCCAGAAAAATCTACCTATCCTCTTAGCTGACCAGCCTTCACCCTTCACTGTTCATTGGCAGAGTTGGCAAAGAGTTAATGACAGAAAATTAAATTCCAATTTGTCAATTTTGTTCCTTGTTAGCAAGTCTGAAAAAAATCTTAGACTATAAAGGTTTAAATTAAATCTGGATAATATTAAAAAGAGATCCCTTCATTTTACAGATTAGGAAAACTGAGTCCTTCAAAAACAACTGAGATTATAAAAGACCTTCAATTTGTACTTTACTAATACCAAATTATCCAATAATCTCTTTCCTCAAGAAAACACTTTCATGATGATGTCAAAGACAAGGAAGCTAATGGTGCTCAGTGCCACAAAGTAAAATGGTATAAGTTTGGATTTGGTTTTGAAATAGAAGAAAGGTAAACGAACATTCTATACTTTTAACATGGCACAAATACAATAACCTGGTTGTTCTGGACTGGTTCTTTGGGTAATGCCAGGGCCTCAGTTTGCACATCTTTAAAATGAGGCAATCTATAGCATATAGTTGCTAAAGTCCCTTCTTAGAAAGTTGGAGAATCCTAAAAATCACTAAAAAAAGACATGCTTGGGGAGGAGGGAAGTATGAAATACACCTGGTACGGCTGTTCAAATGACCAATCTTGACCCAACAGTGGAATCCATAGGGTACCAGTCTCTGACTGGCTTGAGAACACTTGCGGTCACTTCATTACAGTAGAGAGCCATAGTAAACTATAAGAGGCCCCTTTAGGCCTGTACTCCCTTGTTTGTTTCCAGAGGGCAACTGAAAAGGGTCCTCCATTTCCACCTTCTGAATCTACAATTCATATTTCCACTTTGAGAGGGCCCTGCTACCCATCATTCATTCCTAGTATCTGTCAACCCCTAGACATTTATGCAGCACCTACTTATATGCACCCATCACCTAGCAAAAACCAAGTTTTCAATAAACATTTGTTGACTTGAAGGGATTCGTCCATTAAGACTCTCCTGAGAAAAGCAGGTCAAAGAAGAAACCTTTTTCACCATTCCTGCTCTCCTAACACCTGACACTCATGTTCCTCCCCAGTCATGTGTGACACGTGGTTTCTAAGCACTGGCTGGGCTGCCAGGCACAGCTACTGCAAGCAAAGGTCTCTTTGAGGGGGGAGATGGGCACTTACCTGGGGAACCTCTGCTTCAGCTTCCTCAGGCTCTGCCTGGTAGGCGGCACAGACACTAGGCACTGGGCTATCTCGTCGTATTGGGCTTTAGTCAGTATCATGTTGGGCCAGGGACTGGGAGGTGGCAGTGAAAAGGAAAAAAACACCCTGGGCTTGAGCAGCCTTCGTGTCGGGAGACAAGGGGTGGGCACAATGCGGCACAGCGTTGTGTTCCCGACTTTCTGGGCTTGCCCCTACCCTCCCTCCTGCACCCCTGGCTGCACAAGCCTGGGCTTCAGCCTGCAGCTCCGCGGCGGGAGGCGGGCTGTAGACCGACTGCCCTTCCTTGGCTTTCTGAGCAGCCGCAGAGGGCCCGGCCGAAGGCAACCTGCCGCCATGTTACTTAAGGGCAAGCCAACCAGGAAGTAACGGCCACAGGCACAGGTGCCGCCTAAATCCTACCGGCAGGTCCCTGGGCAGGACCCACCTGGGATTAACGTGGAATGCTCCTAGCGGTCATGCCTTCCCTGTTGCCAGAAGCCAGGAAGTCCTGGCGCATCGACAAGGCAGCAGGGCCCACGGGTAACCGTGATCATTAAGCCTGAGCCCGAGAAAACCACTGCCAGGGCGCGCGATTTGAATACGCTTCCAATCGCGCCCGTTTTACTGCAGCTCCAATCGGAGACTGGCCTACAAAGAAATACGCCTTCTCTCGGTTCAAGGCTGCCTGCGCCCTGCGAGCGTCAGCGGAGGAGCTGTAAAACCCAAAACCCACTAGAATCGCTGTAGACGTACAGCTTGGCTTGTGTTGAGGGAAGTCTGACAATTTCTGCAGCTGGCGAGGAACACAGTTTTGGCCCTGTTGGGAAACAGGCTAGAAAACAAAACCCACATCATCAAACAGCGCGCAGTAAACAATATCACTCTCACTCCTCACAGGTGCTCAAGAACTGAAATCATTACTTATTCATCTGTGAATCCCCAGCTCTCAGAAAATAGTAGGCATTCAATAAATGTTTGGAGAAATAAGTCAGTGAACGAATTTATCTGTTTTGTGTGTGTGTTGTGAATGCATCTCAGCTATCCCGAGGCCATTGATTAGGACATCAGTGCCTCCTTTAATCCTTTTAAAAAATCTCTTTGGTTCTTAAAAGGCCATGTGTCATGTTTCTTTTCAAATTTTAACATTTTAAGCAGATGAAAGAAAAAGTGTTTAGATTTTAAATAACGTGTAAATGGTTAATTTTTTTTTTTTTTTTAATCTGGAATAAGGCCTGGGTTAGAAGTTTAGCTTAGATATGCCTCCTTGGATAAATTTCTTAATCCGTCTAAACCTCAGTTCCTTTGTCTGTAAAATTGATTTTTAATTCATGGGGTTATTCGTAAGATTAAATAGGATAGTACAAGGAATGGATTCCTTAGCTTAGCTTCCAGCAGATAGTCTGTGGAAGATAAAGAGCCTGTATAAGACTACTTGATAGTGATAGGTCAGGACATTTACCAGGTGTTGTTTGCTCCCTACACATTGACTTATTTGATCTGTATAATTTTCTAAGAGGCGGGTACTATTGCCATCCTCCTCGTCCTCTTTTTCTGCAGGGTGAATAAACTGAGGCATGAAAAGGTTAAGCAACTCTTCAGCGGTCATGAGAACAAGTAAGCAGCAGGAGTAAAGTTTAAACACCTGAAATTTGGTTCCAGGGTCTGTGCTCTTGCCAACTCTCAGTAATGCTTAATTACTACACACAAAAAAGTCACACTCTCTTAGGCCAAAGGTTAAGAATTTTTTTGAAAGGAAACAATCTATATTTCAAAGAATCTTTTAGTCCATGTTTTAAAAAAGCTTCACCACTTTATTTTCCCAGGCGTCTCCAAGTCCAGTATCAACATGGATCCTGAATTCAGCAACCATAGATTCTTTTGAATATTTACATCAGAATGTTTTCTTCCCATATGCTTTGCATCTAGCTCTGGTTGTGTGACATTAGTACATAACTATTTATTTATGGCAGCATAGCCTGGAGTTGCCACCTGGCTAGTTTGTTGCTGACCCTGCCATGACTCTTACATGAAAGCTAGCTGACGATAAGCAGACACCACTTGATTCCCCATTCCTTTCTCCTTCCCGACTTCACTCTTCTCAATTCACAGCCAACAGATTTTTATAGAAAACATCAGTTCAAGGATGTCTGCACTGGTTATTTTTTATAGTAACTCTTTTCTCTGGCTCTTGTCCTGCATTCACCCTCACAACCCTAAAGGAAAAGGCCAGGTTTGTTTTTCTGTTTTTATTTTTAACATGCCGGCAGTTTACAATTTTGACCCAAATCCAGTAGGTTGTTTAGAGTTAGCGCCAGGGGAAAAGCACAGTGATGTTGCTGTTTTCATTGGCAGTGACAATGGTGTTGCTTATTAGGCACAAAATAGAAGCAAAGCAGAAATGTGGTGGTGGTATTGCTGTTTAGGTGTTTCTTATTTCCCTTGAATGTGAAATGCTTGGTGTAAGCCAATTATTTCTTTGAGGCATGCTTTCTCCCTCTCTCACTCCATCTCTTGAACCCCACTATGTGCCCCTCATCCGCTCTTACTCCTTCTAGAGCTGTCTCTCCGTGCCTGGAGTTCCCCCACTGTTTCTCAGTCGGTCTGTCGGTAATACCGACCATTTTCTACTAAGTGAAGTAGGGTCGTGAAATGAAAACAATACCAAAGGAAAAACCCAAAGAACTGGCTACCTGTTTAAAATCAGCCATAAATTGTGTAGCCTTGAGCAAGTGACAGCCTCTCTGATCCTGAATGTCCTCAGTGTAACCCCAAGAAGTGGAACTTTATAGTTCTGATAGGGAGAAAGAATCTATAAATATGAAAAAAGTGTAGGAAATCTTAGCAAGAAAATATGTCAAAATGGGGACTAGTGCAGCTCCCTGGAAGATGGTCCAGAATGAATAGCTTGACCAGATATCTTTCTGCCAATTCAGGACCACGTGAATAATGAACGATTTTAAAGGAGTGTGGGGTTTGCCAGGGAGGCGACAGAAGGTCATTTCAAGAAGAGTGCTAAACACAATGGACTAAAAATAAGAACGAGCCAAGTCACGCGCATGGGAAAGTTATTCCGGCTAGAGCAGAGAGTTCTAGGCAGAGTGCAAAGGAGTTGAAGATGCTTCACCTTGGAAAGAGTCAGTCACATTTGTAAACAGTCTGTTGTTGAACGTGCCAAATCCAATGCATGTTTTTAAAAGTAAATACTGACATATTATCTTTATTATATTTAAAAATCTGATTCTATTCATGGAATCTTGTTAAAATCATCTCATTGATTATTTTAAAGAAAAATAATTGAAGTTTACTAAGTAAATAAAGAAGGGACTTAATGTTATTTAAGCACCTATTATGCTCAAACACTGTCTCATTAGCCCCTGATTTATAGATTAGGACACTGAGGGTCAAAGAGAGTAAAGGACTTGCCTGATGGGTCCAGTTAAATTGCAAAACCATGATTTGGACCCAAGCTAGTTCAACTATAAAACCTCATTTTCTCCATCATATTGTACTGTAATTCAAAAAGGAAAACCTCTTTGGTTGAATTATCCTCAATTAATCATTTATGCTTTGAAATAGGTAGCTTTCTTTGGCCGCAACGAATGCCTGTTGAAGAGGCAGTGACCTTCGATTCTGACATTTAGCCAAAACACTTTTAAAAGATCGTTCGGCCTCTTTCACCAGAAGAGACTGCATATGTTTTTCTTTGCCCTATGAACTACCACCTAAAGTGATGCGTCTTTTGAAACAAGTTTACGTCTCCATACTTTCCACCTACGAGTGACAAGTCATTTTACCCTAGTCCCCAAATAATACGGGTGCTTAGTAAAAGAAAAAGATCAGAATAATTCAGTTATTGAGGGTCACAGCAATCACTCAACTTAATGAATGGAGGAAAACCAAAGGAAACACACAGAAAGACATTCCATACCATGACAGTGGAGCAGTTAACACTGAATAGTCCTGAGACCAAAAATCAAATGTTGGTTGCTTCATGCAAATCAGTGGTGAATGAACTCCTAGTCTGTCGAACGAAGCAGCCCAATTCCAGAGGGAGGTTACATGTTGAAGGAGTTATTCACCAACGACCTGTTACAAACAAAAGCTCTGTCCCACGTGCAAATAATTCAGAATGGCCCCTCTGCCTGTCTTACTTATTCGATAACTCTAAGAACCAATGTTGTGGGGATACTTACCAAGGGCAGGCACCATGCCAAGTACCTTACATACATCTATCTCCCCTTCATTCTCAGATCCAGCTTCAAGAGGTAAGTGCTATCCTTAAATCCATTTTCCAGGTGAGAAGCCTTAGGCATATACAGGTGGTTTCTATGTATATCATCAATTGTTTTACAACATTCTAGAATAGTGTTTCTCAAACTATCTGTGTTAAGGGCCCAGTTTTCCCCCAATTTGTCACAGACAAATACTTCTGTAAAATAAGGTAAAAAACTGAGTTGCTTAAAAATTGAAATTTAAAAAGACAAAATCATGCAAGCCCCCAATTTGTTATTACGAGACGCAACAGACATACAATTACTCTGTCACATCGAATTAAGAAGTTCTAAATGTTTATTCTCAATTTCTGTACTTACCATATCAAGACATGGAAGAAAAAGTTTGAGAATCAGTACGGGTCTGCTGATCACATTGTGAGTAGAACTGCGCTGGTACCTTAGGAAGTCAAGATTGTAAGCCAGGTATGTGCAAAGTCTAGGACATCATATTTTCATGCACTCTTAGAAGAGAAGTATAACCTGTTCCTTTAGACATCTAGGTATCAATCATCATTACTGTTACCATTATTCTACTGTATTTAGTTCTTCTAAGTGATGCATGTTTATTGAGATCAGCAGTGAAAATCCTTACAGGCTATTTCCTATGCACCCTATAAAGTTAACACCATGTATTTTTATAGCATAAAACCTAATTTCTTCCTTACATTATAAACCCATCCATCAGAGCTCATATACCTCTTCTGTTCAGAATCATACACAGAACACTATTGGCACACGATAAAGGGTATTAATTGACATTTACACATTTCCTATTATCACACTTGACAAGGATAAGAAACAAAAGTAGTGTTTTCCGGGATAATTTCTCTTGGGTGTTTGTTTGTTATAGGAAAAGGAAACATGAACGTGTTTGCTGAAGAAAGACTGAAGCTTCTTAAATTTTCTCCTCAGGCTCATCAGGGACTTGTGGATAATTTGCAGGCAATTTGTATCCCCTTTTCCTGCAGGACTAAACCTCAGATGTAATTTCTGCAGTTGTCAATCACTCTTCTTGTCCCCTAGACCATTCTATAAGAATA